CAGGACGCCATTACGCACAGCCCTAGGTCCGAAACGCCGACAGGGCAGTGGAGCGTGCGCGTCCTGACAGCTCTCGGACCTGGGATAACGCCATCCCCTATACGCTCACCCGGAACAGAGAAACATGTATATTTACACACAGCCGCGTTGTGGAACGGTCCCTTCCCTCAGAGGCAGAGCTTCCTCGGACCTACGGCCAGCCATTTTAGAGCCGAGGGTCCGAGACCCAGAGAGCGCAGCTTCAATACAAACTTTCCCGGCTCGCTGTCGTTTTTTTTTTTTTTTATCTCAGCCCTTGCTGTCAAAGCCGGCCGGAGACTTACCGGACGGGCTTTCGACACATTTCAAACTGTATTTTTAAACTGTACTCCACCCATACAGCCGCTGCATTGGGACTGGCTTACCGGAGCAGAGGATATTTCCGGAGGACCAAATATGACTGTGCAGAGTACGGGGTGATGCTGCGAATGCTGAGGGAGGGAGGGGTCAAAGGGAGTTGCTATGGTGTCGCAGCCTACCGGGTCCGACCAGTAGCCATGTTCAGCCTATGAGTAGAGTTGAACCTGCAGCCTGCACGGGGAGGCAAACCCGGTGGCACAAGTGCACCTCTGGTGCCATTAAAGAGCCGGGGAAAGGGACGTGGTTTTCTGATGATTTTATTTCAAATCACTCACACTTGTCAAACTTACAAGCCTCAAGACTTGATGCGTCAAGCTCAGCAGCAGAATAGAAAGATCACACAGTGAATTATCACAGGGTGAAGTCAAGAACTAGGCTCCATCACAGGCATAACGGGGATAGCACGCACTAATACATGGTACGTGCATCATCATGAAGGCCTTCACTACAGTATGCGCTGGATAAAAGCTGCAGGAGAATTAAAGTAACGATCAGAGGGCTCGCATATTATAACTATGCCTGTGGGTTGATACTACGCAGGATAAAGAGACTAAAGCCAAGAGCAGAGTTTAAATCCTCGCAGACACACAGCTTAAGATGCTGATTCACATGAGCTCTGAAAATACTTCAGGCTCTAACTGACTAGTATTATATCATAGATGGATGTGGGGAAGCCACAGAAATGGTCAGAGTGGTGTGCGGGGAAGTGTTTGCACTGTGACACAGTGTCGCGGTTGTTGTGACGGGGCCCGGGGTCAGACGCGCAGGTCATCACTCCACATCGCCACTGTCGCACGCTTCGATTTCCGAGACCAGCCGGTGAGGGAAGAGTTTATATTGCAACCACGTGGGCTCTGAAAACACAAGGAGAGGGCGCGTCAGCATCACGCGGGCGGCGCGGGTGAGGGCGAGCGGGCCCGAGCGGGTTTGTCCGGCTTTACCCAGGTAGCAGGCCGGCGGCGGGAGCTTCCCGTCGAAGCAGCTCTGAGCCGCGGTGAAGCTGCACTGCTTCCGGGGATGTTTGCAGAAGAATGTCACATTCTCCCCGTGGGGCACCATGGCATCTGTAATGTCAAACGGCCAGCGCTTGACTCCGCCAATCACCACGCGGCTCCGCTCAGCAGGGATGACGCAGCGAGCTGAGAGAACGTTGGACAAGGTGTGAAGTGTCAGCAAATCAAACCGTCAGAGTGTTCTACGTGCGTCCATACCCATGCGTGCAAAGGAGGAATGAGAAGTGTAATCGCATCAAGAGCAATTATCCACTAACCCTCCGCCCACATGAGAGCATTTGAACGGTTCCTCACCTCTGCAATGTGGGGGCGATGCGGTCCAGTTGCCGTTCAACAGACAGGTGATCTTCTGAGGTCCGTCCAGCAGGAAGTTCTTTTTGCAGAGGTAGTGGATGTCAAAGCCAACCTCGTACTCAGACTTCAGAACGGCGACCAAGTAGCCTTGCTCAACCTCTTTAGGAGGCTGGCAGAACACCTCTGAAGTAAGGAAAACATTTTAAATCAGTTTTTTGTCACCTGATCTTAACATTTAGGACAGAAAAGAATAGTCCGTGTCAAAAGGACGCTCAGTTGTTAAATTTTCATCGTCACACACTGATGACCTGATGATCAAAAGCTTGATGAAAAGTCTAATATTGCTTTTATTAGATACTTTTCTGCAAAAATTAAATTTAAATCACATTTCTTCTTGAAGCATTTGAGCAGCATCCTAATCATTTCCCCAATTCTGAGGAAAAGGCCATGTAATCCCAGCTTTAAGCACAAGAGGGCAGAACAGACCACGCAACGGAGCGGCTGCTCTTCATGGTCAGGCATTCAACTTGTTTGTGTGTGTTTTATCCACCTCATCAGCACACAAGACTACATGCTGGTGGGAATACAAACCATTTGCAGACAAACACTTTCTACAGTCTCTCGCCAGACTCACCCGCACATGATTCACCATTCAAGCTTTTCCTGGTAACCTTTAAGAATGTGCAAACTCTTGCTGAGCGTGCAGAGGATGTAACATGTTCGCTTGTTCACACACTCGGCCGTCAGTGCCAGAAACCAGGGTGCACTTACTTTGGCAAATGGGGTGAGGATACTGCCACGTCTGATTTTCCTGACAGAAATTTTCACTGCTCCCAATAATGTCAGCCCTTTGGAAGAAAAAGGGAAAAATGATGGGCCCAGATGGTGGAGTGACAGTGCAGTACTGGCAACGGAGAAGTGTGATGGGAAGGAAAAAGTGATTAAAAAAAGGTGTAAATGATTCCTTGTCCCACTGTCTCTCTTTCAGGGAGCTTGTATGTGCAGCCCTGGCTTACACATCCACTCAGGCTCATCTTTTTGTGTGAGATGAGTCAGTGTGGAAAGGGGAGTCAATACGAGATTAGACTGTAATGACCTAGTTCACTCAGTGGGAGCTTCAACTGGGAGATCAAAATGAATTCCCTGCCATTCGTCACTCATCTCACCATCTTCCCCTTTATTCCTTTGTTTCTCCATTACCGCCATCTCTCACTGCCTCCATCTTTGTAGCATTTCGACTTCTCAGAGCTCCACTCACCCAGACAGGCAGCTGTAGTGGATTGAAGTCCCTACGGAAGCGTCACCGTGGATGGTGAAGGTGTTGATCACCTCCTCAGGCAGAGGGCAGGTTTGGGCAGAAGTGCTTTCAGGTGGGTCAGTCGCTGAGGGTCAAGGGGAGAGCAGAAGCTTTCAAAGGACGCAAACGATTTGAAACCGAGGTGGAGGAGCCCCCGTTTCAAGCTAAAGAAACAGCACTTGATAAAAGAAGGATTGCAGTGGAATAAAATGAGAACTCTCGCCTTTTAAAGTGTTATCTACAAGCATGAAATCAATCATCTCAGTTTAAGTAATTCAAATAGAGAGGTGTGCAAACCTTTTACAGAAATTAGCACCTTCATTCTTTGTTTACACTGATCAAAAGCCAGCATTTGAACAGTAAATCTCTTTATGCAAATGATACCAGTACATTCAGGCCATTTTCACTTGATTTTCAAATACATCGTAATAGATCAAGCCTAACAGTGGTGTAAAGAACATTTCAAACAACTCCCATCACCCAAGAGTATACAGTGCTGCTTGAAATGTAATGTATCAGAAATTAAAATAATGATTGTATTGGGTGTATTGAGCAACTTTCTTTATTATATAGAGTTTGTAACTGCTTTTGCTGAAGTAAAGTGTCTCTACACTAGGTTTCCTGCCATAAAACATGATGCATTATAAAAACATTCAAACATGAATATGATCCAAAGCGGGACCATGGCGCCCACACACAAACGCATTAGCTGCAGCAGTGCAGCAGGTAAATATTACACCGGGCAGTTTGGGTATTCTGCATGTCCTGCACAGCTTCACCTCCCGAGTGATGTCCAGGTTGTGCGTTTAGTGTGGCTGTAGAAGCGCAATTTGATTGATTTTATCTTTTTTTTTCTTTTAACTTGATTGAAAAGTACTTATACATCCATCACAGTCCTGTGTCAATGCAATCATGTGAGCAGTCCGAAGCCCCCACTGGAGAATTGTTGCTCACACGGTCAGTTTTGCGCAATGGTTATCTTGATCCAACAACTGCTGAAGCCTATTCTGTTGCAGTAATAAACCTAACAAGTGAACAAAAAAAAGGGAGACGGAAGGAAATGGCAAGCAGACAGGAAATGAGTGAGGCTCGTGGGGAAAAGACGTGTCCATTGTCGTGGTGTTTCAACCGATGTCTTTCTATTTCAGTGGAAATAACCCCTTCTTTATGTAATGAATCAAAGTTCGACAAGCAGGTGAAACACAGCCTCACACCTCTCCGAGCTCACAGCTATAGCCGCGGTTGTATAACACCTGGCACTGCTCATTCCTGGGAGTTTGAGTGCCTCACGCTCGTGGAAATATAAATACCAAGAGTGGTGCTTGGAGAGAGGCTGGAGTGACCTGACCTGCATCAAGCGCCAGGGTTTCGAAGCTGAACAGCTTTGAAAAGTAGAGACAGCTCTTGCCTGAGGATGATCTTGGTTATCTGAAACCGAGAAACGTTAATATAAGAATGTAAAGGCACCTATGGGAGAGGGAGAGTTATGAGTCTGGCTGCAGATGAGAGCCTGATGCGAGTACTGTATTCACAAACCGCCCCTCTCCTGCCTCGTCCTGCTGCCACCCACACAGTCGTTGGCACTAAACTGCAATAAAGCAGGTGTATCGAATTCATCTTTTAAAAACTATAAGACGACCGTTTTTGAATGAGCGACAGCAATGAAAACACACCAACCTGACTAACAATAAACACGGAAAGGTCCGATCGGCTTTGCGAAACATTGCTTTGTTTATTTCTGTGTTCCTCACACAAAAATACGCAGAAACACTACATCTGCATCTCTCAAACTGAACACCCTAAAGCTGTGTGTTTGTCCTTGGCTCCCATTGTAGAGAGAGACCTTATCAGAGTCCTCAGAAGAGGAGAAAGAAACGAGAGGAAAAGAAGATGAGAAGAGAGAGCAGAGGAGAGGAGAAGAGGGAGCAGAAAGGCCTGGAGCAGCATGAGCAAGATAGCTCTCTGACTCTCCTGACTGTGATCTGTCGCCCACACACACACACAAACACACACACACATATACACACATATACACAAACTATGTGACACATGTGCAATCCACCCCCCAACACATACACATCCAATCCATCCTGAAAAACCTCTCGGTAAACACACACAGCCCCTCAACAGGCATGAACCAGCTCCACTCACACGCTAGCGCACATGCAAAAGACACACAATACAATCGCTCTCACACATTCAAAGCCCACCTACCTTCTGCCTGTCTCTCAGAGGGAGGATACTCACAGAGAGCTGAGAATTGTATCCTTATGTCACATCTTTGAATAGAGAAAAAGACTCTGCGAGGTTTTTCTCAGAGCAAGTTAAGGTATGCGGTGACGGCTGCAGGCCTGAGACATGAAAACCTGAATGAAGCAATACGGAGCGCACGTTTTCAGGTGCTGCATGTCGGTCAAACATGCACTACAAGTAAAACAAAAGTATTCTTTTTTTTTCGGTGAAACCCGTTCAGATCTGTGCGTTTCTCCACAGATAGAAACTCATCGTGTGATGGTCTGGAGTTGTTGCAGTTCTCTGCTTATGTTTGTTAAGGATTGACCTCGGCCTGTAATGCATTTGCTTAAATGCGTTAAACGGCATCATACTCGTGGCTGTTCATACGTGTGCTGCAGATTGCTTAACCGTCTGTATGTTTATCAGGCACACCTGCTCCTGAAAGGGGGAAGAGAATTCAGTCAACTTGCAAGGTTACAGACATTCAGCTTGATTTTGCTTTCAGCCTGTGATTAATCTTTCTGTTTCGCAGTGTGGGGTGGGTTTTGCTCTGACCGCCATTCACATTTTTTCCACTGATTAGTCTCAGAAAGGGCCAACAAAGACACAACTGAGCGCATGCACAAACTGTTAGCGGTGCACATGTATAATCATCGCGCACACTTAGCCTTTAATGCCTGTTTAAACTTATCAACAGTTCAGCAGGAAAAAAAAAAATCCTCAGACGGCCAGTCTGAACAATTTGGTTGCCATGGTGACGGGGAGAATAGGTTGCAGTTGTGCAACGTCCAAGTCGACACAATTACGAGGGGTTTCATTCCTGTATGTCTCTCTTTGTACCTCTGCGTCTCGATCATGCTCGTTCCTTGGCCGTGGTCGAGCATCACATGCACGCCACACACAGTCCACCCCGATTGGGCAAGACGAATGGCTTTGACGCGCAGAGACACCGCACATTTGATCTCCTTATGTGCATTCTGCCTATCATGTGAACCTATTACCATATAGCGAGTTGCCAGAAGAAGGCAGAAGACACTGAAACCCACCTGTGCAGATGGGATCATCTCCACTCCACTGTCGGTCACCCTGACAACGGCGAACAGTGGCATCCAAGCCATTGGGCAATGTGAAGCCTGGCTTGCAGCGCACTTCAAGCAGGGCAGAAAAGGAGTGAGTGGGAGAGAGGAGGCGAGCTTCTGAGTTTTCACCGGGGGGAAGAGGCCAGGGACAAGTGCGACCTGAAGAGAAAAGAGTTGATCGAGAGGGAGGAGGCACGACAGAAAAACAAGAATGTGTTCTCAGAATGAGCACTAATGAGGGTGTAGAAGTCGATTGGCTGCAATTATGGCGCCCCTTTTTACAGCAAACAAACATAATAAAAAGCCAATGCTTAGCGGTGAAATTCCATTTCCTGGCATTCAGGGTTTTTTTCGGCATTTTTCTCAAGAAGAGACACACATGTGCATTATGTTTGTTGGCACAGCAGCAGATGTACACACACACACACACACACACACACACTTTTAATGACTAAGCCAGGATTGCTTTTCACACTGACAGCTGAGGGCACACAGAAGTACAAACAGTTACCTGGAGCCACACAGCTGAGACCACAATGACCGTCACACAGACACTGCCGTTTGCTGCCACAGTCGCTGTCAGACCTGCAGGGACGAGGACACATCCTCCTCCTCTCCTCTCCCAGAAGTCTCTCCGGACATGGCTCTGTTGTGATACCAACACACTCTCTCACCACCACAGTAATTGTCTTTTTGTTTACCTCTATTTCATTTAAGGCTCCTTGTAAAGAACCCACAAACTAAGGGTCATAAAAAAAAAAAAATCAGTTTGCCAATTCTTTACTTTGTTTTCTGTTTAAAGCAAATTCACCGTGGGTGGCCGGGCAAACATTTGCCACCCAGAATGCCAGATGAGTAAGTATTTGGATGGCCAGCTTTGTTACTCGTTGCTTTTCAGCTATCAATCTAGATTTTTTTAATGGAAAAGTGGGACTATTTTCTCAGCAGACAAACTTTATCTGAACTGCAATCTGAATTGGAGTCGCAGTGGTCTGACGGAGCCCTCCAATTCTCAAAGTCCACACTCATTACTCTCTTTTCTCCGCGTGTATCTGTTACACATTGTAGAAACAAATCCCCCAAATGCTGGGAGCATGTTAATGTCAGCCCACCCTCAATGTCCGGAATATATGAGAGGTAGAGGGGACTAATAGGAGGGAGCTGAATACATTTCCCCCTTTCAAAAACACTGTTCAGAGCACGTGTGATCACAAACCTACATGTGACACACTTGAGTGCATATGATACCACAATTTGGAAACATGGTGTTCAGTGCATACGTGCAGTACGTGTGATTTTATATTATGAAAGACTATCATGAATCATGGAGCCGTTTTGTAGATTTGGCATTAAGATAAATGATGCTGCTCTATCCACATTGTCTATGTAAAGTATTTCAAAAGCATATTAACCCGGATAAAAAGCTAATTTCTGATGGAAAGCTCTGTAGGAAGAGGTAAACTGATAAAGGAAATCACTGACTTGATGAGTAACCTCCCATTTGCACAGGGTTAACTGTTAGTACTCATTCCAGATTTAACATTACCAATTCAAATCCATATCCCAAACTGATAGAAAACAATGCATTTCAATGACCTGATTAAATTGCAACGATCACATGGAACTCCTTGCAAATATCCTAACACAAATGGCTTTTTGACTTGTTGACGTAACAAAACATGTAAAGGAAAGTCTGCGCAAAGAATATATTTCATTACGGCAAATTATTCATTATTTCTCCTGGCTAGTCAGTGACTGTCCGCATTGTTTGCTTCACACACACAG